CCCTCCCATTGATGGTGTGCCTACTGGCCAAGGCTTGCACAAGGGTCAGAGTTTATCCTCCTCCCCATATGGGGCAGCAGCATTCCCATAACAGAATGCAGATGAGTATCAGAGCTGCTGAGGGAAGAGGTTCTATCCCAAGGCCATTTTAGTGGTAGCTACAGGATGGGTGTTTTCTGCAGACCTCCATTGCACTACAGCCTAGAGATGAAGGACAATGTCTATCTGAACTGAAGGTCACAAGCTCTGTGACAAGGGTGTGATAGGAAACTGGATTGCCTTCCTGCCTGCCCAGGATGTGGAGGTGGTACACTGCTTCCCACTCTGGTGGAGACATCAGTGCATTTCACCATGAGCTCCCCTTTACACCCCCATCAGGGCAGGTGCTTCTGCTCATGATTGGGCTTTCCTAGGGAGAGCTTGGTCATTTAGTTCCACTCAGTTTTGTGTCCCCATCCAAAGCTTTGTGTCCTCTTCACGGTCTGTGACAACAGAAATCCCCTCCCAGAAAACTAAGACCAAATACCCATCAGCTTCTGTCATAGCCAGCTCTTACTGGGATGCAGATTGAATTGCACAACCAAATAAAAAACAGGCTGACAGAGGGCATAGAGCTAAGGAATGAGATAAACTTCCTGAGACCTACGCATTCCCATCCCCTCAGAAAGTACTATTCCTGCTCATATGCCCAATATATTGCTACTACAATCAGCATAATAAAGCCACCACACAAAAGCTATCTATAACCAAGAAACTCACACAGAGCTTTGACCCACAGAAGGCACATAAAGTTGAAGCCAAATGATCATACACAATATACAGTCACACCTTAAAAGGGGAGAAAATCCCAAATGAGAGTAAATTCAAAAGTAAAAAGTAACAGCTTCTCCAGATAAGAAGAAATCAGCATAAGAACTTTAGAAGTATGAAAAATCAGTATTTTGACACTCTCAAAGCATCACACTAGCTCCCTAGCAATGGATTCTAACCAATATAAAAATTTTGAAATGACAAAGAATTTAAAATATGAATTGTAAAGAAGCTCAATGAGGTACAAGAGAAAGTTGAAAACTAACATAAGGAAATCAGAAAAATAACTCAGGATGTGAATGAAACATTTACTAATGAGATAGATATTAAAAAATAAAAACCAAACAAATTCTAGAAATAAAAATGTATCAAAAGAACTATAAAATATAATTGAAATCTTTAACAAAAGACTAGTTCAAGCAGAATAAGTAATTTCAGAGTGTGAAGGCCAATTGTTTGAATTTACCTAGTCAGACAGAAATTTAAAAAAATATAAATTTTTAAAAATAAGCAAAGACTTTGAAAAATATAGAATGATGTAAAGTTACCACACACACAATATATAGACATTCCTGAGGGAGAAGAAAAAAAAATTAAAAGCCTGGAAAACCTATTCGAGGGAATAATTTAGGAAAACTTTCCTGGTCTTTCTAGAGAATTAGACATCCAGAGAGAAGACACCCAGAGAACACTTGGAAGATGCTCTGCAAGAGAAACCTCATAAAGGCATATCATCATTAGATTATCCATAGTCAATGTGAAGGAAAACATTCTAAAAGCAGCCAAGAGAGAAGTGTCTAATCTATAAAGGAAAACCCAAGAGACTAACAATGGACTTCTTAGCAGAAACCTTACAAGTCAGAAGAGGTTGGGGTCTTATGTTTAATCTTCTTAAATTAAACAAAACCCTGCCAGTCAAGAATTTTATATCCTGCTAAACTAAGCTGCATAAATGAAGAAGAAATAAAATTTTTCCCATACAAACAAATGCAAAGGGAATTTGTCACCACTAGACCAGCCCTACAAGAATTGCTTAAAGTTCTAAACATGGAAATAAATGGACAATACTCCCCATCATAAAAGCATATTAAAGTGAAAAACTCATAGAATATATAAAGCAATTACATAATTGAGACTAAAAAGCAACTGGGTAACAATTATCATGACAGGAACAAAACATCACCTATCAATATTAACCTTGGTAATAAATGGAGTAAATGTTCCACTTAAAAGATACATATTGGTGCTGGGTGTGATGGCTTACACTTGTAATCTCAGCACTTTGGTAGGCTGAGGCAGGAGAACTGCTTGAGACCAGGAGTTTGAGACCAGCCTAGGCAACATAGCAAGACCCCATCTCTATAAAAAATTAAAAAGAAATATTAGCCAGGTGTGATGGTACTTACCTATAATCCTACAACTTAGGAGGCTGAAGCAGGATAATCACTTGAGCCCAGGAGTTTGAAGCTGCAGTGAGCTATGAGTGCATTATGGCATTCCAGCCTGGGTGACAGAGTGAGACTGTCTGAAAAAAAAAAAAAAAAAGAAAGAAAAGATATATAGATTATAAGATTGGATAAGAGTAGCAACAGCTGAGGGGTCCTAACTAGTCACTAGAGCAGTGCATAAGGCAAACACCAGCTAAGATGGCCGGGAGAACAAGCTTGAACAAGGCAAGGCAGAGGTCTACTAAGGGAAATCCATTCTACAAAAGACAAGCGACGCAGGGGCTCTCTGAGGCCTAGAGCAGCATGCAAAAGAGCAACTCTTTCCAGGTAGCAGCTCCCTAGCTGCTGCCCCCACATGCTGCTGCCTCTGCAGCTGCTCTGCTTGCCCCACCCCAGCCCAGGTATGCTGAGCAGCTCCCAGTTCTTTCCCAATATCTGGGCAGTGCTGTTGAGATGAAGGAAGAGGAGAAGTGGACACAACAGGTCCTGGCTCTTAAGATCTGCAGTTATGAGTTGCTTTTGCAATCACTGTAGGTCATTGTGCAACTCACTGGTCTCTGGGCTCCTGATTTCTGGACATCTATAAAATGCAGACACTGATGATGCCACTTAACTCACAGAGCTGCAGTAAGAAGAGTGCAGATGAGATCAAGGCCCGATAGTGGTCTGCAAACTATAGTGATGGATGTGCATAGTGTTGTGAATATCAATGGCAGGTTTCCGGAACGCAGGTGGGGATAAGAGTGAGTGAGTCAATAAAGAAGAAAATTGCCCCACTTCTTGAAGGGAGTTTTTGGGGCTGGGCAGCTCAGGGTGCAGGGAAGGCATAAATAGTGAGTGCCTGCCAAGCAAAGGCTAGTTTGTTTGGAGCTCCTCAGGCCTAAGAAGAATAAACCTGTAAGTGTCTCTCTTCTTGCCTTAAAAAAAATTTTTTTTTATTTTCTTTGCATCCTGTAAATATTCCCCTGCCCACCTGGGCAGTTCAACCTACTGGTGTGGAGGAAGGGAAGCTCTGTGTAGCTGTTCTAAGAGGCATGGACACGGGAGGTGGGAAGACCAGGAGGTCTTATGGTGCTGTTCTGCCCCTTATTCAGTAGCCTCAGCCCAGGGCGGGATTTGCTTTCTGAACTGGGTTGGGGGGGGGTCACAGGGTGGAGGAGGGGGTGTGACACCATCTAGACCTCAGATGCCACTGTGTGGAAGCCTCAGGTGGAAAAATGCAATTCTAATTTCTCTCTAGGCTGTTTTCTGCCCTGATTTCTTCAGAAAGGACAGTGGAGGAGAGACAAACCCAGGCACTCACCGGCTGGGGTTCTAAACCCATCCTGGTGCCAAATGCCTGTGGAAAAGCAGGGAAAATTGCCTTCTCATTGCTTCAGGTCTTTACTGTAAAAAAATATACTTACTGGAGTAGGTCTCTGATTTTCCAACCCATATTCAGAGGAGATACTCTTTTCACTGAAAGTGTACTCTGAAAGCTTAGCATAAACTGGGCACTGCAGGGTTTGAGGGGGACGACGACTCTGCCCACTCCATCTGCTACCCCAGCTAAGATGCGTCATCTGAATCCTGGGTCTGAAAACTGGGGTCTGCCCTCTCCCAGGGTCCTTCATGTCGCAGTGGCTGGTGGTGTCTCTGCCATCTTGAGCTTGCAGACAGAATGCCTATTGCCTTTTATTCTTCCCCAGAATCAGGCACAGGGCCCCAGGGTTGAGGCAGCTGCAGGCCACAGAACAGTGCCCTTGTTCTGGCTGGGCTCATGATTGAGCCTCTGCCAGAACAGGTGCAACCAGGTAGCTGCTGCTGGCTGGGAGCTCACTCAGCTGTTTCCAGAGACTCCCAGGACACCCGAGGAAGTGGTGAATTCAAAATTGAAAGAGGCTAGTGAGAAATAGGGGTCATCCACAGCCCAGAATCACCAGTAGTCAGCAAAGAAAGCACTCCTCTGGGCAGGAAGCCCCTCCCTTGCCACCACCCCACTTGGCCTGGCGACCCCCTTCTTTGCGCAAGTTCCTCTGGCTGTGTTCCCAGCCTCTGCGGATCTGATCAGCTCTTTTCACTCTCATAACTACAGTTTCTCTTTGAGAGAAAAGATGCCCAACACAGGGACTATCCCAGGTCCTGCTGTTATCCTAATCTCAGTTCCTGACCCTCTTAGATGGTGAATGGGTGCCCTGTTGGATAGTTGCTCTTTCTTACCCGCAAAACTAGCCTTCTGTCCGACTCAGCCTACCTGGCATGTCCTCTTTCCACATAAGACTTTTTTTCTTTTGTAGACAGAGTCTTTCTCTCTTGCCCAGGCTGGAGTGGAGTGGTATAATCTGGGCTCACTGCAACCTCTGCCTCCCAGGTTCAAGTGATTCTCCTGCCTCAGCCTCCTGAGTAGCTGGGATTACAGCACGCACCACCACACCTGGCTAATTTTATGTATTTTTGGTAAAGATGGGATTTCACCATGCTGGCCAGGCTGGTCTCAAACTTCTGACCTCAGGTGATCCACCTGCCTCGACCTGCCAGACTGCTGGGATTACAGGCATGAACCACCCTGCCCAGTCTCCACATAAGACTTCTTTTCCAAGCCCTTTCAGATGATCTGGGAAGAGCTCTAGGTGTCTCAGGATTTCTCCTGCTGCTAGTTTAGTGTCTCTGAAAACTTTCACCTGAGTTCCCTCTGGGACATTTCTCTAGAGACAGCATCTGGTTCAGGAATGGCAAACTGCCAGGCAAATGTGCACCACACTCCCAGCCTGTGCTCAGGAAGGACATCACTAAGCATTCAGGGCTCTGGCTCATTTTCAGACTAGCACTGTCAGTGCCTGTACGAATCCATGCAAGGCAGCAAGTGAGGAGAAACAGGCTTGCCTTATCAGTGTTAAGCCAACCACCTCAGTGGCACAGACAGGGGGACAGGCAGTCTAGGGAGTGGTGGGGGGTCCTGCACAGAGGCACAATGAACTCTTCTTGATGTACAGATGGCCCCAGTGAGGAATGCTACATTCTAGCCACTGTGCCAAAAGTAGTGCCCAAGGGAAGGCACAAGAAGGGAAGACATGAGCGCCTGGGAATACAGGGATGCTGCTGTCAACCTATCTCAGAGTTCCAGCTGGGTAACTCATGCCCTCCACCCAGATCATGTGCCCACCTTGTCCCTAAACTGCTTTTGGATTCCTGCTGCTCTGGGCCCCACTACAGAGGAGAGAAGGCGAACATGGGGGTTTCTCATCACTTCTAGAAGCTGAGCCAAGCCCTAAACCATGTCCTCAAAGCATGAGCATGTCTTTTCTCTTTCTGTTCACCTCTCCAGGCCATGCTGCCTTTCCTCCTCTCCGCACTGGTCCTGCTCACACAGCCCCTGGGCTACCTGGAAGCAGAAATGAGGACCTACTCCCAAAGAACAGCGACCAATGCTTGCACCCTGGTCATGTGCAGCTCAGTGGAGAGTGGCCTGCCTGGTCGTGATGGACGGGATGGGAGAGAGGGCCCTCGGGGAGAGAAGGGGGACCCAGGTAGCGTGGGGCCATGGGCTTATCCTGCTGGGGAGGAGTGGTCTTTGGAGTTGTAACCAGCCCAGCAACTCTGGGTACTTTGTTATGGAAGTCTTGGAGATGTGTTTCTTCCTCCCAAGAAGGTGGGTTCCACACTACTCCACCAGCTGACAAACAGGGGGCTGTGCTGAGCCCCCATGTGCTCCTCCAGCACCCAACTGCCCTAGCTCCTCCTCTAGGATCCCCAGATCCTTCCCATCCCAAGACCAAGCAAACAGGGGGTGAATTACTGATACTGGGGGCCTTCTAGAGCCCTGTGCCAGCAATTAGCAGTTGTTCATTCCAATTAAATGGTGCCTGTGAAGGGCATTAAGTATTTTTCTTTTTTTTCAAGACAGAGTCTTGCTCTGTCACCCAGACTGGAGGCCAGTGGTGCAGTCTTGGCTTACTGCAACCTCTGCCTCCCGGGTTCAAGCAGAGTTCCTTCCTCAGCCTCCCGAGTAGCTGGGATTAAAGGCACCCAACACGGAGCCCTGCTAATTTTTGTATTTTCAGTACAGACAGGGTTTCACCATGTTGGCCAAGCTGGTCTCTAATTCCTGACCTCGTGATCTGCCCGCCTCGGCCTCCCAAAGTGCTGGGATTACAGGAGTGAGCCACCGCGCCTGGCCTAAATATTTTTAATATTTAATTAAATTCCACTGAATGAAGGATGAGAAAAGATGGGGCTCCGTGGCTCCATTCTCAAGCCTATTCAAGAGGATTTGCCCTAATACATTACAGGGAGAGAAAGGGCACTCACATTTCTTTGTCCACCCCTGTGCTTGGGCATTCACTTGAGCCGTTCATTTAATCCTCCCAAGAGTCTTACAGGGGACATATTAATCTCCTTTGACAGGTAAGAAAATGACGACGCAGAGAGGCTAAGTAACAACCATTCCGGAGGCGGAAAGGACGAGGGCTCTGTACCAGGCTGGCCTGGGTTTGACTGCTGGCTCCATCTCCACTGGGAGAGACCCTCAGTGTCACTGAGTTCATTTTTTAATCTGATAATAGGAATGATATCTGCCACGCAATGGTGAATAATTGAGCCAAAAGCTTTATTTTTTATTGAGTCTTTGGGATAAAGTTGCATTTCCTGCTGTACCAAATAGGTGAATCATCTTGAACTTAGCAGAGGTACTGACGAGTCAGGGAATTGTCCCTGGAAATTCTGCTCCCTCTTGTAGGGGAGGATCTGGGTCTTATTTTCAAGAAAGGAGAATTCCATGAATCAGCAGCATGAACCAAGGGACCTCTGTGATAGTGGGCAGGGCTTCAAAGGGATCAGATAGTCCTTAACTTTGAGGAAAGATGAAGCAACATCCCCAGGCTTTGTGGGGTAAGTGGCGAGTGAGCATCTGCCTGTCCCTTACAGACAGAAAGTGGCTCCCAATGTGAATGGGATGGGGCTTGGGGAAGGCCGCCCAGCGGGGAACTCAGAATAGGGTGGGGTTCACCTTGGCAGCTCTTTCTCGGAGATTCCCAACTCATCTGGCTTCCAGTGGGGGCCCCAGATTCAAATCTCGGGGATCTTTCCCACAATGACCCTCCAAGTTTGCTGCCTGGAGCATGGCCAAGGCCTTCCTTTCCCACGTATGTGCCTCACCCCATGCACATTGCAGGCCTGGCTTTGGGTCAGTACGTGGACAGAGGGCAGCACATAGTAAGGCTGCGGGATGAGGCTCCACTCCAGCTCCTCAATTGCAGTGTCTCCAGTCACTCCACTGTTAAAGGTCTGAGGATGGATGTCCTGGGAGGCCTGGAGCATCCTCAGAATCCTGACCCTATAGGTTTGTGTGGGGCCAAAATCTGTCACCTGACCACCACCCCTGCGGAGTTGGAAGCATGTGGTTCCCAGAGCTTGCTATGGGAAAATTGGGACTGGAAGAAGAGACTTTTGAGCAGGGGTGGAGGGTGGAGCTTGAGTCACTCTGACCAGTAACCCAGACATATAATGGAGGGCAAATAAGTTGCAGATCCTGCCTCTGCGGGGAACAATTCCTTATTACTCAGCACCTCCAGCATTCCTGCCCAGAAAGATTTTCTGGGAGAGTCCCTCCAGGGATGCTCGTCTCCCTTGGACAAACCACACACCTTACAGCAGCCCATGAGTCCCGGCAGGACCGCCCCGCACCTCTGCTGCTCCTCTGACCTCAGTGCCCCAACCCCTACTCAGCTCCAACCACACAGTTTCTTGCTGGTCCCCGGCCACGCTCAGCCCCCTACCTCCTTGAGGCCTTGCCATTTGCTCTTCTCATAGCTGTCCCTGCGGCTCATACGTCACCTCCTTCAGGGCCTTACTCCCCAATCACTCTCTCAGTGAAGCCCTTCTGATCCAGCCTACTGAAAACAGACCCTACCCCAACACACCATATGCTTTACTTTTCCCTGTGGCATTGTATCTAACATATCATCTATTGTACATTTTTAATATTTTATTATCTGTTTCTACAAGATAGAGTTGAAGCTCCCCAGAGAAGGGCTGTTTATCCACAGTGTTAAGGACAGTGGCTGGCATGTAGTAGGTCCAGAGATATTTATGGAATGAGTGAATGGAAGATGGAAGGGGAGGAGGGGTTTTAGGAGTCAAGACAGCTAAGGGCTGGGCCGTAAAGCTCCATTTCGGGTGTGCTCAGGTGCAGGGCTAGGCCCTGGGGATACTAGGATACACATGAGTGCTTTGAAAGGCACAGGTGCAGGGTTTGGGGAGGTGCCCCTCCTCCACTCTGATGCTCTTATGGCCTCCACAGTTTGTGTGACAAGAACAGGCGGGCTCTAATGCTCCCTTCTGAAGAGTGATGTTTTTCTCTGGGTCTATCTTCCTGCTGCCGGACTGGCCAGGGTGAAGCCCAAGCGAGGCTCCATCTGAGGTCAGGACATCCTGCCTTGAGCACAATGTGCTGTTGGGTGTCAAGGATGTGGCCCGTCCTATAACCCTCTGTGCTCCTGTTTCATCCCTCATAAGGATTGCAACCAAGAGCCGGACCCAGGTCATGGAATTCCACTGGGCATGGAATTCAGATGTTTCCAGGTGGTGGTGCTGCTGGGATACACCAAGCACAGAATCTTCCACCCATCCAGCAGATTCTCCGTTACTCTCACCACAACCACACGTTCGTGCCCCCCACAATCCCCCTGGCCACCACGGAGGCCTGGCCTCCTCTGCCATGGGAGCATGGTTTCCAAGTGTGAAATGTCATTTCCCCTCTGCAAATCTTCCTAAATTCTCCTTGCCCTTAAAATTCCACTTTCTCTTTGAGGAAGACAGCTCTGAGTGTGTGTGTGCTGGTGTGGGGATGCTCGGATGAGATGAAGGACCCTTCATGCATTGTCTTCCTCTCCCGTTACCCTTGTCTCACAGTATATGATGAACCCTTTGCTGAGGACCTGAGGCTATGCTCAGATTTGCATCTGGCCCAGTGCTAGGTATAATGTAGATGCTGTATAGATGGCTCTTAGTGAACAAATAAATGAACAAATGGACCAATAACTGAATGAACAAGTTAGCACCACCTGTCTGGTGCCACTTCTGGTTGGATTCCCTGATATATATATGTAAAGCAAGAAGTGTATGATCACAGGTAAGAGCTGAGAGATTGCCTGCCTTCAATACAGTGGCCTTGGGTCAGGGGAAGGAGCACCTCATAGAAAGTCAGACAGGTCTTGGCTTTAAACCACCTCCAACTCTGGAAAGCTTCTTCCTCTCCTATAAAGTGGGCATGCCAATACCCGTTTCCTGGATCGCCACTGGACCCGGGTGTGTGACGATGGAAGTGTCATGCTCTGCAGAACCCTGAAGGAAGGCTGGGGGCCGATCCTGCAGGCGGCTGGTCCTTCCTGGATCTAGGGCCAGGTCTTTGTCCATTTCTTCTGCTGCTACAGGTTTGCCAGGAGCTACAGGGCAAGCAGGGATGCCTGGACAAGCTGGCCCAGTTGGGCCCAAAGGGGACAATGGCTCTGTTGGAGAACCTGGACCGAAGGGAGACGCTGGGCCAAGTGGTGAGCAACTGGGCGTTGACTTCAGGTATTTCCAGGTGGTGGTGCGGCTGCAAGGATGTGCCAGCGGGCACGCACAGTGCCCATCCCAGGAAGAAGGAAGAAGGTTGTCTGAAGGTGGCACTGGGTCATTTCAGGACAGATGGGGGCTGCTGTTGGGAGGACAACCTCTGTTATTACCCTCACCTTACTACATGCTCTTCCTGCCAAGAGGGCTCAATGTTACTGACCGGGCTGGTGCTTTTCCTTAGGACCTCCAGGACCTCCCGGTGTGCCTGGTCCAGCTGGAAGAGAAGGTCCCTTGGGGAAGCAGGGGAACGTAGGACCTCAGGGCAAGCCAGGCCCGAAAGGAGAAGCTGGGCCCAAAGGTAGGTGGCTGGTCTGTGGTTGGTCTGAGAGCGGAAGGGAAGATGGATAAGAGTCCGTGATGTGACCTGAGGCGTGCTCAGAGTGCCAGGGAGGGCCCAGACCCTCAGTGATGCAAAGGCCTTGCAACGCACTCTCCCAATCCCCACAATAACAATAGTTTCCTCTCACTCTTCACAGAGGGCCCCAGAAAGCGAGGATAGTCTCCCCACTTTCTCTGACCCTAAAGTTGTGGGTAAAGAGCTCCGTTGCTAAGAAAACCACACCCACTGAATGCACTCTCAGCTGTGTTTGTTCCTGTGTGTTCCTTCCTCAGGAGAAGTAGGTGCCCCAGGCATGCAGGGCTCAGCCGGGGCAAGAGGCCCCACAGGTCTTAAGGGAGAGCGAGGTGCCCCTGGTGAACGTGGAGCCCCTGGAAACACAGGGGCAGCAGGTGAGCAGTGGAAAGAGCTGGGGCTGGGCTGGGTCCAGTTCTCCTGTGCCCACTGTGCCCGCTTGGAGCTGTCAATGCCTACCCTCCCACACCCACAAAGGCAGAGCTGGCATTGCTGGACCACAGGGAGGATCTTATCCAAGGAGGGTGCATGAGGAGGCGCTGGGGATGGTTCCTATCTAGGGAGAGTGTGGTGCTGAGCAACAGAGAAATCTGTATACAGGGAAGGTTAGTTGTTGGGTGGTGGGGCCGTTTTACACAGCGGGGTTGATTGCTGGGTGACAGGGACAGTCAGTGTACAGAAAGCTGCATAGCTGGGTACTGGGGACTGTCTGTTCCTGGGCAGTAAGGATAGTTAGTTCATGTACGGAAAGGTGAACATGCTAAGAAATGGCTACATGGCTCACCCAGTTCTTCTTTCACCCCAGGGTCTACTGGAGTCACGGGTCCCCAGGGAAGTCCAGGTGCCAGGGGACCCCCAGGATTGAAGGGGGACAAAGGTGTTCCTGGAGACAAAGGAGCAAAGGGAGAAAGTGGACTTCCAGGTAAGGTAGCAGCTTCTGGCTCGGGGAAGCCCCGCTGGGGCATGTGTGGGCAGAGAGGAAGCTCTCCTCAGCTCAGGGCAGCCCCTCCTCTGGGATGCGTGGTGGGTGGAACTCAGGAAAGGCTGACAGGCTGGAAGGCAGGAGCACTGGGCTCTGGTCTTAGCCACTTAGTACGCATGGGAAAGCAACCCGGGCAGCTTCTCCATCTGACCCTTGGGAGAACCACAAATGCCTTCCCAAGTTATAGGCATTAAAAACCCAGTGAATGGGAAACACATGAGTGTGTATTCCTGCCCTCAACTCCCCACCCAATGGAGATACCATTATATTCCAAGACTTTAAAGTCACAATGTCATCTGGTTCAGTATCAGTGAAGTACAGGGACCAATGTATCCATAGCAGAACCATAAGACATCCTTGCACAACAGAGGCCAGCTGTCAGCCGATGTGGGCTTGCCGTGGGTCAGCCCCACAATATGTGCTTGCAACTAGACATTCTTCCCTTGGGGCCCAGACTCTGAGTTCTTCCTTCGTTGTCTGGACAAGTCTTTACTTGGTTATTTTCTCCCCTGCAGATGTCACTTCTCTGAGGCAGCAGGTTGAGGCCTTACAGGGACAGGTACAGCGCCTCCAGGCTGCTTTCTCTCAGTATAAGAAAGGTGAGTTTGGATCTGAACCTGGGCCCAGCACTGGCATTGGGCCCCAGACTAGATCTCCACCTTGGTTTGCTCTTGGGCTGGGGCTCGCCCTTTGGCTGGTCCTGAGGGAGAGCCTGCCCGGGGTCTAGGCTGGGAATGAGCTGGGACCTGTGTAGGGCTGGACCTGGGCTGTGGCAGAAAGTGGGGCTCAGGCTGGGATGGGCTAGAGTAGGCAGCCACCTGGCTCCCAGAGCCGGAAGTAGCTCCAAGGGGGCAAAGGAGGAGGATGTGGCCCTATCACCAGCTCGCCAGGCTGGCAGTAGCATAGTCAAGGCCATCAAGCTCCTGAACCCCCCTCCGACCTCAATGCCACCTGTGCTCTGAGACAAACTGTTGTCCTGGGTCCAGTGCGATTCAGTGGAGTCTCTTTCCTGCCTCCTTGTGCTGGTTCCTCTGATAAACAAGGGGCTGCCCAACATGGGCTGCTCTTCTTACCTCTGGGGGCCAGGTATGAGAGTGCCCGGTGACACTGTTGCACATCCCAAGGCAGCAGAGAATCCAATCCAGGTGCTGTTCTAGGAGCTAGGGCTGGGGTTCTGCTCTGGGCGTACAAGGCAGGTGGGGGCCTGACCTTGGTATGTGGCCATCAGATATCTCCCTTTAGACATGCTTCTGGTTCAAACAAGGCAGGCTGCCTCTGGGCTCCAGCCACTGCTGGGCTCTGCCTGCAGCTCTGGAGGTGTTTTAGAGCATGAGTTTGCCCTAACCCTGGAATCCTGAAGAGTCAGAGGCCTCCAGGGGCACACACCTGAATGCCTGGTGCCTCTTACAATCTCCATATCAGTGCCCAACTGCCCCTACTCTCCTCTGCCCTTCCTCACATCAGCTTCGAGTTCAGGCAAATCTCATTGAGCCAAAAAATAAAAAATAAAGTTTTCTGAAGGAGTGGAGCACAAAGGGGCTGATTAGGTGTGACACAGGGTTGGCTTCTATGTGCTCAATCTCCGAGAAGAGAGTTTCAAGCATTTGGCATATGTCCCTTTCTGCATATGCTTGCACTCACTCTGAGGCACAGTGACAGAAACACACAGAGGAACATGGGCATATATGCCACCACATGTGTGTGTACTTAAACACCATCACTCACCCCACCTCCATCTACATACATGAGCTCACATGTTGTCTCTACAGCGCACACATCCAGATGAACTGTCATACTCCCATGTACCTTTGGATACATGCACATATATTCAAAGGCATGCCCATGTATGCACATGGCACATAAACCTAGTAATGGCACATGAACTCTTATGCTGGCTTTGTTCAGGGCTGCTCTGGGTGCCACCCTGAGCCCATGGAGAATCTTAAGGACGATGGGTCAGGGTGCAGCCTGCATTCTGAGCAGGCCAACAAGGCCAGGGGCACTGCCTTCTCTGACTTCCATTGACTTTGCGGATTTCCATGCATGGGCCCAGGAGCCACAAGGACAGACTGAAAAGAGGCACTTGACATGTCGCACAGGCAATGCTTTTGTGAACTGAGTCCTCATTTTAGAGATGAGGAAATGGAAACCCTGAAAAGGAACGTGACTTTCCCTTTCCCACGCAACAGCCATTGCCAGGGTGGATCGGAATGCCCGGTCTTCCAGTTCCCACCTAGGGCTGTCTCCAGCACTAACGCCACTCCCCTGCGTCTTGCTCACACATGCCCTCTTCAGATGCCCTCCTCCACTCCCTCAGCACCTGCCAGGCCGGCTGACTGGCTGGGGCATCACCCAGGTGCATACTAAGAGGCCGACATGAGGCTAGACCCAGAGCAGAGATCAGCATCTGGCAGCTTTCAGATGTCCTCCCCTCTTCCTGCTCTCCCCTTTCCTCACCCCATCACACAGCACAGACCCTCTCCGACAACCTCACATTCCCTACTGTTGTACGGGGTGACAGTGGGCTCGCTGCAGGGTGTTTTCTGTACTCTCAGAAACTGGCCTGGTCTACACCATCATCAACTTGGGGAACGTTGCTCAATTCTACATAGTAATTGAGAAATTGATTCTGGCATACAGCATGTGCCAAAATAGAAAGAGCATGTCTGAGCTTTGGTGTCGAACTGAGCGAGGTTGAATCCCTAACTGCACATTTGCTGCTTGTGTGACTTTGCACCTCTTAGCTTCTCTAAACTCCAGTGCTCTCAACTGTAAGTGGGGAAGCATGGTGTCACCTCGCAGGGTACGTCACGGGGTGGGGGCTGTTCTGGAATAGTGTCTCTCTTGCATTCTTTCCGGCGTCCTGATGTGGGGCCTGTTTGGGAGGTCTGAGAGGCTCAGGTAGGTGCGCAGAGGTCTCAGAGCCCCTGAGCTGTAGCCAGGCGATGCCACAACCCCAACCTGACTCTTTTCTTCCCTTAGTTGAGCTCTTCCCCAATGGCCAAAGTGTCGGGGAGAAGATCTTCAAGACAGCAGGTGTTGTGAAGCCATTTGCAGAGGCACAGCTCGTGTGCACACAGTTTGGTGGGCAGCTGGCCTCTCCACGCTCTGCTGCTGAGAATGCCGCCTTGCAACAGCTGGTCATAGCTCAGAACGAGGCTGCTTTCCTGAGCATGACTGACTCCAAGACCGAGGGCAAGTTCACCTACCCCACAGGGGAGCCCCTGGTCTATTCCAACTGGGCCCCAGGGGAGCCCAACAATGACGGCGGGTCAGAGGACTGTGTGGAGATCTTCACCAATGGCAAGTGGAATGACAGGGCTTGTGGAGAAAAGCGTCTTGTGGTCTGCGAGTTCTGAGTCAACCGGAGTGGGTGGGGCAATGCTGGGCTCAGGATCCTGACCAGCAAGTCAGGGCCTAGCCCCTCATGCTGCCAACATCCTAATAAAAAGGTGACCATCTGTGCTGGGAAGGACTTCTCTACAGAAGGTGGACAAAAGGTAGGGCTGCTGCAGGACACCGCACAGTGAAATGTGAGGCCGCCTTCACACTGGAAGCCATTTCAGGGGAAGAAGCGGCCAGCCTGCTTTCCCTATAAGGGACAAAAGCAGGTCTCCAATGTCCTCCCTGTCCCCAAACCAGATGACTCATTTTCAGCCCCTTTTCTCAAACCATCAGCTGCATTTGACCCTGCAGATCCCTCCTTCTTCTTTCAAGGACTTCCTTTTCCCAGCTTC